GGGCCCAGCCGCTCCGCGGCATGTGGGATCCTCCCGGACCGGGGCACGAACCCGTGTCCCCTGCATCAGCAGGCGGACTCTCAACCACTGCGCCACCAGGGAAGCCCTCAATAAATTTTTAATGGAATCTTGATACTAAAATGTTTAGGATCACCTGGATGAGGTAATAAATCCCCATTAAAAAAGAAAAAGTCAAACCCCATTATCAGAAGAGAATAAGAAGGATGGATTTAAGATTGAAATGAACGAGTCAATGTTGTAGTTACAGGAAGAGAGAATTCAGAAAGAGAAAAAAGATGTTTTTAGTAAGATTAAGAAAAAACAATGTTTTAGGCAAAAGATCCATATGGCTATGCACCCTTTTAACTTCATCAAACAAGGCCACCTGTTTCCCAGAGGTCACTACCAGCTCGCAGACAGTGTAATGCCCCTGTTTCCTGTGCTCATTTATACTTGGTGGTGTCTGACATTTTGATTTTGTGAATCTTGTATTGGTAGGTGTTAGCCCACATTTCCTTGATTACTAATGCGATTGAATATCTTCTCAAATGTTTGTGAAACATTGTTTCTTCTGTGGAATTCCTTCTGAACCATTGGCTGTCTTTTTCTTACTATGTATAGGAATTCTTTATATATTCTTTATATTTATTGCATGACAAATATCCTTTTCCAGTTTGGAGACACCAGCTTCTAAGTGATCAAAGTTTATGGCACAGTTCTTTCGTTAAGAGACATTCAGCACATCCTGGAAAGTGTCTAACAGAGTGTGATGGTTTTCGTTTGCTTCTTGGACAGACTCTTGTTGAGAACCAAGGTGTAATGTAATGGCAGGTGATGGTTCTGGGTCTGCTTTGTTCTACTGGGTGATTTGCAGCTCCTGGTAATCTGACTTGACCCAGATGGAGCTCAATGCATCCATGTTTTTCAGGGACAGGAGCAAAGAGGAAAATATCTGAGACCCAAGTCTGTGGGCGAGACAGAGAGGCAGCACTCGGGGGCCCTTGATAAGGTGCTGGCTGGCCTTATGAGCGAGGGTGTGAGGGGATTTCTTTGACACCTGCATGTGTCACACCAGTGCCGCTTTCTCCTGACCAGTGACTCCCTTGCCTTGCCCTGCGGGTAGCTGTGTGCACAGGTGCCTGTGCGTGGAGGTTCTTCCCAAACATTTTGAACCACCTGCAAGGGCAAAGAACGCGTTGACTCCCTGTGAGGTCTAGGGGTGTAACCCCACACCTGAACTTTCTTTGAAGTTTCACGATTTAGCTTTAAAAAACTAATGAGCATTTTGCTTTCTACTCCTCAAAAGGAGTAGAAGCCCGTGCTTTGGAACACTGGTGAATGTGGGCCCTGCGTGGGGTGGCACCCAAGACTTAAAGCTCCCCGGCTGCCTATGCTGCCAGTGCCCTGGAGACCCACAGCTCCCAGAAGCGGGGCCCTGGTGGGTCGGGTGGCCAGGCCTGCATGGAGCCGTGAGGCCAGCAGAGGGCGCTCCGCCCCCACCTGGTGGAGTCTCGGGTTCTCGGGACCACTAGGAGTTGGGAGCCTGCGTCACTTTTGTGAAAGGACGCTCTTACCTTTCCTTGAGAGCTGTTCTCAGGAAAGCTCCCGAGCAAGGCTCTGTGTTGACAACTGCAAGCCACAGTCCCCTGTCCCAGATAACTCCCCAGGGGGGGTTCCTGAAGTCCCCCAGTGCCCCAGCCACCTGCCAGCATCTGGAACCCTCACGGGCTGGGGGCTCTGAGGGTGATGCTGCGTGCTCCAGCAGAGCTGTGCGATGGGACTGCCAGGTGTCCCTTGTCTGAACGCGTGCAGACGCCTCACAGCCCATCAGCTACACCAGTGCTTCATTGGTGTGCTGTGTGCATGGCCCTGGCTTGGGAGAAGTGGGAATATCTGTCTTCGTAATCGATGCTCCCACGGAGGAGTTAGGGAGACTGGCCAAACGTGCGGGGAGAGCACAGAGGAGTCTAAGGCAAGGGAGGACGCTGGGCTGTAGGTGGGGCGTGGCGTGGAGCGAGTGACTCTTCTCTGAGCGCCTGTGTTGGCTTATATAGACCACAGTGATGGCATCGACGCGCTGTGCTACCGCTGCTCCCTTAACTGGAGGCCTGGAGCCTCGGGGGCAGAGACCACACTGTGTGCTCATACAGAGTAAACGCACAGCAAGAGCTTGACAGTGAGTGGACGAGCCCTAAGCTGCGGCGGGAGTTCTGGGGAAAGATGGAGAGGCCGTAGCAGGCAGCCCTCAGCTCTGCAGGAAGCCAGGTACCCCAGGATGACTCTGACGGCCGAGGACCACCTTCCAGCGGACCCCCTGGCCAGCTTCCCCAGGGTCCTGGTGTGCAGTGGGCTTCTGGCTGGCACCAGGGCCAGAAACCAGCTTTGCAGTGTCTGGTTCTCCACCACCTGCGCACTGTAAGGTGTGGCCTTGTCAGAGGCAGCTGCTAGTTCACAGGATAATGACCCTGCAAGACGCTGACCCGTTGTTGCAGGAAGATGACCTAACAACGGCCAGACCGTGAGGTCACCCTGCTAATGCACTGAAGGCCCAGAATGGAGGTATAAGTCACGGCCACCTGCAGGCCAGGTCTCTGTATCAAGTGTCTCTACCCAGACCTGTGATGGTGCCTGGAACCTGCCACGATTGCATCTTTCCTTTGGGCCGCTAGGACTTTCAGGATTAGCACCCAGCGTTGACCAGGAGGCCTAGGAAGTGGAGCCTGAGGCAGGGAGCTGGGCGGAGGGTCCCGAGGGAGGCACAGCCTCCTGGGGCCGGTCCTAGGGGAGGACTCTCCCAAGAGCCCGGCGCCCTCGGGACCTCTGTTGGGGCCGGAGGAGCGGCCTTCTCTCCTTCCCCTCTTCACTCAGGGAACCACGTGCTCCTCTCATTCCAGGTCTCCAGAAAGTACAGTGACATCGAGGAGTTTTACCAGAAACTCAGCAGTCGTTACCCAGCGGCCAGCCTTCCCCCGCTCCCCAGGAAGGTGCTCTTTGTTGGGGAGTGTGACATCCGGGAGAGGAGAGCCATGTTCGATGAGATCCTGCGCTGCGTCTCGAAGGATGCTGAGTTGGCAGGCAGCCCTGAGCTGCTAGAATTCTTAGGTACGGGAGGCTCTTTCTCAAATTCCTGAGGTCTCTGCTGGCCCAGAACTAGGCCTCCCTGCCCTGGCTTGGCGGGAGGGGGGTCCACATACCCCCTGCAGCCCAGAAGCTTCAGCCAGGCTGTTGAGGCCCATGGGCCTTACTGCCGTGCTTGGGCCGGGGTGGTGGGTGGAAGAGGCCTGGGACCCAGCCCTGGAGGACTGACCATCTGGGTGCTGGATGGGGCTCACCCAGGGCCCTTCTCCGTAGTCTAAGCCCAGCCACTCCCCGCCTAGCCAGCCCCCTCCAGAGCTCCCTGCACCCGTACACACACCTCCGCCTCCCACCAGCCAGGCCTGGGGGCCTGCAAAGTCTGGAGAAGGCTGTGCTCCCACAGCCAGGCTGGTGCCCTGGTCCCTGGGGACACCTCGCTCAGCTGGTACCCCTCACCGAGAGGTTTGGAGCGTGGCTCCAGGCAGCCCCTCCCACCCAGTGATGGGAACCTCGAGCACTTGCAGTCCAGGTCCTGCGGCCTCCTGTCTTCCCGCTAGTCCTGTCTGTCGGCTGGGAGTCGCCCGGCTAACAGGTGCTGGTGAGAGTCACATGTGCAGAGCTCGCCACACAGGAGGCGCTGTAGAAGCGATGGCTAACGTCTCACCCCCACTCACACCTACTGGACTCAGAACGCTGCGAGCGTGTCCCCGTCCTGCGCCAACACCCCGGGGCAGGGGGAGCGTGGGGAGGGCTCCCATCCGGGGGTGCGGGGCACTCACCGCATTTAACTCTTTTCCCGAGTACCGTGAATCTCCTAGTTTCCCAAGACAGATGGGAATTTTTCAGAAGAAAATTAACAGGAAATAAACCAATTTTGAAAAAAAACAATGTGGGGAAATAAAAGTGGAACGGGTGAGCGCACGGAAAGCCGAGCCTGGTGAGACTGCAGCACCGGTTTTCTTCTCTCCTTTCCCACGCCCCCCACAAGGGTCTTCGGGCTGGGGTCTCTCCGGCCCTCCTGTTTACTGAGGTCACAGCCCTCCGCCCTTTGCCTCTCTCTGGGTCTGCGTTGACTGTAGGAAGGGGGCCCCAGCCTATCCGTAGCTGGAAGAAACTCCCCATCTCCTGGCCCTCTGTGTTACGGGGAAGCAGGATAGGATGGTCTGACTTTCCTAGCCTCTCCGTGCCTCAGTTTCCTTATCTGTAAGATGGAGGAACAGATAGGATCTCTCACGTGGGATTTTTGCCATATTTAAATGAATCTGTACCTGTAAAACTTTTTATTACATGATGCTTATTCCATGAAATTGACGGTTCATGAGATTTTGAATGGGATTTTTACATTTGTCCTAATAAAATAACAGAGCATAATATAATGCAACATAGTCATTGTCACTCAGTTCTACATACTGTGTCAGCATACATATCACATCCTATGTGCCAGGCACTCTGGGGCATATAGGTGGCTTCTTTACCCACAGGGTCATATACTTTGTAAGTAACTGCTTTCAAAAATACACTATTCAGTAAACTACTTAGATAGAGATAAACAAGTAGTCTAAACCCACGCTTCTCAAACCATTGTGGGGAAGGACTAACTTTTTTATTCCCAGTATGTCACAAACAGCATTCCAAGGTACTGTGGAAGTTTCTGGATGCTTGCTCCGCCTTTCTGTAGTTACCTTGTTGTGGACACCCGCCTATGGACCACACTTTGAGAAGCGCTTATGTAAGCCAGTTCGTAGTGAAGCCATCACAGTGCGTTCTCGAATCTTCCATGTGCTCGCGGAGCAGTCACTGAGTTCCTAGTCTAATCACCCAGACCCTCGGAGCAAGTCTCCAACCGTGGTTGGCAGAGCTCCCCGATGGGCTCCGCAACTGCAAAGCATTTCTGGAACTGTTCTGTGGGAACCCACGTACACTGGCTGGCTTCTGCCATCAGCCCGTGGACTGTAGCCTGTCGTCCCAACAGGCCCTGGGCTGCAGAGGTTCAGGAACTGCTCCCTCTGTCCCTCTGTCTTCTCCACCCCAGGCTTTGCTACCCCCATCCAGACCCACCATCCTGGTCCCAGGACGCTGCAGGAAGCCCCCAGCCTCGGGTGCTGGCACTGGAGCTTGCGCGCCGGGAAGTGCTTCCTCGCGTCCCCCCAGCGGTGGGTGTCAGGCGCCCTCTCTGTCTCCCTCCACAGGTACCAGATCCCCCGGGGCTGCGGATCTCAGCAGCAGAGATTTCTCTGTCCTGGACACAGACAGCCAAGGGGGGGACGACGGGGATGCTTTCGACTTCTTCCAGCAGCAGGATCGAGTGGAGGGTGAGGGTCTCCCCACGCTGGACCAGAAGGGCCAGGATGCAGGGAAGTCCTCAGAGGACGAGGCAGAGGAGGCCCTGGACCCTCTGGGCATCATGCGGTACGTCTCCTCTTCTGGGTGCCCTCCCCACACCCCCCCCCCGTCTGGTCTGTCTTTCGCCAGGCTCCTCCCTCCCTCCTGGGAGTCTGAGAAAACCGGTATCCCTGGGTTATTGCCCCTAGGGGCCTGGTACTCAGGGAACTGGCTCTCTGCTCGTCCCAACATCACCTGGGTCTTTGGGGCTCAGCCCAGGTATCTCCTGCCCCTCCCTGCTCACAGGGTGGCCCCCCGTCCCCCAGTTCTGCACTGAGACCAGGCAGGGCTGCCCCCACCCCTGGCAGTTCAGCAGCCCAGGAGGCCTGGGTTCTCAGTCCAGCTCGTCGCTGACAGCCGGTGACTCGTGATGCGTGACTGGAGCTCCCTGGGCCGTGTCCCGCTGCCCTGGGGACAGGGCTGTGTACCTTTGCCCTGCCTCCCCAAGGTGGTAGTAAGGCTTGGGGGGACTGGTGACCCCTAAGCTGCTGACTGTGATGGAAGGAGGTAGAGTGAGCCCCAGGGTAGACTGTGTCCCCTTTACACGCGCACACTTGCACACACACGTACACACACACGTACACCGGAGAAGAAGAGGCAACTAGCTGTGGTCTTGATGGCCCCTTGGTGTCCTGATTCTGTCACCTTCCTGTTCCTTCTCCTTTCCTGTCCCTCTGCCTGCCTTTAGCCAATCAGTGAGCTGCTCCTGAGCCCCCATTGGGGGAGCACCCTGAGCTGGGGGAGGGGCTGCAGGCTAGATGAGACCGGAGAGCCAGACCCCAGGCTCCCCAGGCCCCTCCGATGGGCACAGGCTGAGGCGTTGGGCAGGACCTCCCGACCAGAAGGAGATGAGGGGGAGCCCGACAGACGTAGCCCGCCTCCCAGGACCCTCACTTCTTGGCCCGAATGAGCAAGAAACAAGGTGGGAACTGCTGATTTTGAGCACCTAATACGCGCCTGGCATTGTACTTTGCACTTTGTCTTCTGTGTCTCATTGACAGCCTGCCCCGCAAACAGCTGTTAGTATGCCATTGGACAGATTAAAGAAACTGACGTCTGCAGAGGCCAGGTGCCTTGCCCGAGGTCAGGCGGCTTGGTGGCTAATGGTACTGGGGTTCCAACCGAGCTCAGGGTCCTGTCCTGGACTGCGGAGCCAGACTCCCTGGACCAGAATCCCGGCAATTTACCCCTTTCCTTCAGTTTTCTGCAAGGAAAGCAGGATAATGATAGCACCCATCTTTTGCGGCTCTCATGAAAATTAAGTGAGTTAGACGTCACGGCCCCATCGTTCTGCCCCACCACCTCTGCAGAGGTGGACAGACCACAGACCCAGTGACATTCTCTCTGCCTGTCTCGCAGGTCCTGTTGCAGAAAGAAATTAGAGCCAAAGAGAAATCAGGCAGGGACAAGTTCAACTTAAACAGCGTGAAAAATACAGTCGAGAGAGCACTGCCCACCACCCGCAGGCCTTCCTCTCCTAGTGGGGTGTGTGAGGGTGGGCACATGAGGACATGTGGCTGCAGGGTCGACGTGAGACCAGCCTGGAGGGGACGAGGAGTCAGACTTGGGAAAGATCCCAGGCGCTCGGGGAGACGGGGGCCGGAGCCGGAGGTCCTGCCACTCCTTGGTGCCAGGTGTCAGGCCCTTCCAGCACCTCCCACCCCCGCTGGCCTTGTCCTAGGAGGGGGTCAGCGGCCTGTGGGAGTGACTCTGAGGTTATGTCGGGAGAAGTTCGTAATAGCCGCTCGTTATCAGCCTTGTGCGACCCGAGGGCCTTGTTGAGCTGTATTTGTTTGAACTCAGCCTCTCTGTTATTCTGAGTAACCACATGTTACTTGCTGCCAGACTGCTATGGGCTTGCGTGGTTTGTGCCAGCCTCTGGCTAAAGGACGTGCTTAGCAAAGCAGCTCCTTTTTTGGGTAGGAAAACGCTGTTTGGGGTTGGCAAGGGCCGCCTTTAATTCCCTGCTTACTCCAGTAGCAGATGGTTGGGTGAGGTGCTGGCTGTCTGGGGACCCCCTGCGCCCCAGCACCATCCCCAGCTCTGCACTCGGGGGGCCTCCTTTCTGAATCCGAGGAGAGCTGAGCACCTAAAAGGGATCCCGGAGGCTTTTGACCTTCTGCCGGTCTTTCTTTTAATACCGATGTGACAATAGTCAGTGCTGTCGTCTCCACTGGGAATAATAACAACTAACATTTTCTGAGAGTTTATTAAATGCCAGGAACTGATTAGCATTTACATGAATAGATATTTTCTATTCTATTTCTTTTTTTTTTTTAAGGGTCATGACTCAACCAAATTGCTTTCCAGATCCACCGTGGGTCTGGTTTGGGAAATGGTGCCCTAGGAAGCGGGTTCTGGCGTCGGGCTCGTTCTGTGTGTGAGGAAGCTGACATTCGGAGTCCAGTAGCTCATCCAAATTCATCCAGCCCCAGATGGCAGTCAGGACTTGGTGTCACCTCCCTGCCCTGTCCCCGGATCCCAGTCTCCCAGCAGATTGGGAGGCAGGCAGGGCCCTAGGATTATACCCCCTTCAGAGATGGGAAAATTGAGGACAGTGTTGCGTGGGGACTTGGCTAGTGCCTTGTGTGTGGCAGGGCCCTCCCTTGAAGTGAGGGTGTCCCCTTGGCCTCTCGTGGGACACCCAGGTGGGCCTGTTGACTTCTTTGTACAAGGCTGCCTACCCGACCCTCTGGTGAGGAACATTCTGTTCTTTGCAGGAGACTTATGCTTGGCCTGCATATTTCTCCATCCTGTGCCCTCAGTTCCTCTGCGGCTGCGGCTGCGGCTGCGGCATCCTTGCTCTCCCAGCCCCCCACCTCCCTGAGCGCCCATCTGGGCCGGATGCCGGCCTTCCCCAAGCGGCCACGTTTCCAGGCGGCAGGCGCTGGCCCTTCCTGCCGTGTCCGCGCCGGGGCGCTGTTTCTCCACTGTGGGGTTGCTGGACGGGTGGGGGCCACGGCACAAAGCCTGGCTTTCCTTTGTCTGTAAAACCTGGTTTTGATTAGGGAAGGACGCACTGCTGCACGCTTAGAAAGTGCCTCAGGATAGACAAAGCCCTCACCGCCTCCAAATCCCAAGCTGCCACGCTCCTCTTTTCGGAATTTTTGTGTGTCCCTGTCCCGGCCAGTCCATGTAACTGCAGACATAGTACACATGCCTTTTTACACTCCGCTCTTGGACTTAATGTCCTCACGATCGGTTTCCATGTGGAACACAGTTTTCATGTTTAACTTTCTATTTTAGAGACTTCACAGTCCTGAGAAAGGTGAAGTTCTCCCATAATAGTTTTGCCTTCTGCTGGAAATACTCTGCGAGGAACATTTTAAATTGTAACTCAAATGATGTATGATTAGTGTAGAAATATTGCAAACACCGTTAAAAGCCCTTTCATCATGAAAGGTGTACACTTTGGGATATTCACGTTTTACTACCGAAATGGAACTGCGTTATGTGCGCCATTCCATAATTTGCTTTTTTTCAGCTTACATACTGGGTTTTTCCGGATCAGTAAATAGACTTGTACATTCTTAACTTGGTGCTAGCCCATCAGGCTGATGTGCTGTAAATGGCATTCCCAGGCCCCCGCTGGGGGACACTGTGGTGTTTTCCATAGGTTTTTGCTATTACAGGCAATGAAAGAACTTGTTCATGTATGGAGTGTTTATTCTGTTGAGCTTTCCCCCCAGTCACCTGACCCAGAGCAAGGTCCTAAAAGCTTCTGCTGGGGGTCTTGGTTGTGCCTCTCCAGTGAAGGGGTCTTTAAGGACTTAATTGCCCTGTGTTGGGAAGTCCTCCCTGCTTTTCCAAACCCTGCCCATCCACAAGGCCCGCTGCCCCCTCCTCTTCCCCCAGTGTCCAGGGAGCTCCCCAACCTCCAGGCCCCAGGTCCCTGAGGACCTTCAGCTTCCCAAGGGACAGGCTGGCTCCTGCAGGATCACGCTTTCCTGTAAGACTGGGCTTCCTGCTGTCTGCTCAAAGGAGGGGGAGCCAGCACCCGGGGCCCTGTGCCGTGGCCTCAAGCGGTGAAGCTGGACGTTTCTCTGGAACGTGAATCATGTGTTTTGTCATAAATATTTATACAGATTTTGCTGTATCTTTCCTAAAATAACCGTATGTGTTTTAGTATAAAAATACCTTGCTTCCTTTATTCGGATGGAACTGCTACTCTGGGATCATTCTGTGGTTCTGAAGACTTCCGTCACGCTGCCAGGTGCCCCCAGATCTACTAGCCCAAGATTTACTTATTTTCCCCCCAGCTTTATTGAGATAAAATTGACATGTGATGTGTGTAAGGTTAAGGTGCACCATGTGATGACGCGATACACCTACGTAGTGTGAAATGATTACCACAGTAAGGTCAGCCATCGCCTCACCACCGTTTCCAAGATAGAGAAGCGAGGCGACCCCCAAGGACAGGAGCTCTGCAGGGACAGCTTGGCCTCACCCCGTCTCACGAGGGGCCCCAGGAGCTGCTCCTCCTCGGACGCCTCTTCGTAAGTATCCCGGCTGTCCCTTTTGGGCTTACGGCCCCTTTAGGTTTCCAGCCCCCGCCTAGGAGAGCAGAGCCCGGCCGGGAATTCTGCACCACCTGGAGCTGGTTAGAAATGCAGATTCCACCTCAGGCTCCCTCGAACCTGGACGGGGCCCAAGAACCTGTGTTTTAACGAGCTCTTGGCACGCTCCACAGGCAGATTCGTGCTTGAGGAGCCCCCCCAAACCGAGCTCAGCAGAAGTCTTGGAGAAGCAGGAGGACAGTGATGCAGAGAGCAGGTCCACCAGCCGCCAGGCTCTGCTACTCACAGGGGTTCCAGTAGGCGGGCTCGGGGAGGCCTTTCCTGTTACTCTCAGCCCCCAGCCCACCACTGTCTCTCGGTTCTCCCTCTCTGGTCTCCTGCTGGAGGGCCGTTCTTCCTGATCGCTCTCGGGGCTGTGAGCCAGGGCTGGCGGCCTCGCGCTGTACCTCCACGCACAGCACTTAGCCTCGGCCCGTCCTGGGTCCAAACAAGGAGCGTGCAGGGGGCACG